AGGAATATATCCTAAGAAGCCTGAAACACCAATCAGAAAGAATATATGTACCCCTATGTTCATAGCAGCATTTTACAATCGCTAAGATCCGGAAACAGCCCAAGCATCCATCAATACATGAGTTGATAAAAAAGATGTGGTACATATACATAATGAAACACTATGCAGCTATAAGAAAGAAAGATCTCTTACACTTTCAGATGACATGGAGTGACCTGGAGGGTATTATGCTAAGCGAAATAAGCCAGTCAGAGAAAGACAAGTACCACATGATCTCACTTATTTGTGGAATATAATGAACAAAGTAAGCTAATGAACAAAATAGACCCAGAGACATAGAAGTGGGAATTAGAGAACTTCTGGTCAAGATGTTAGCATAGGTAAACTCGTTATTACCTTTTTCTACAACCACATCAAAATTACAACTAAATTACTGAACAACCATCATTCAGAACCGCCTGAAATCGAGCTGAATGGAAGTCCTCAACTACAAGATTAAAGAAGAAGTCACATGGAGACTAGTGGGAGGGGAAGAAGCGTGGCTGGACTGGTCCAACATTCATGTGTGGAGGATAAAAATCAGGATACCTCGGCTGTGAAGGTCCTCCCTGAGGAGCAACGGGTCCCTGTCCTACACCAGGTTTCCAGCCCAGGGTTCCAATGCCAGGAAGTGAAATCCCATAACTTCTGGCTGTAAAAATCAGCAGGAACTGGAGCTGAAGGAGGCTGAGGCTGCTGGTGTGCCCCAGGCAGCTCCTCTTAAAGGGCCTGCACATGGACTTACTTGGACTTGCTCCCTCTAAGCTCCAAGGGCAGGCAGCATGAAAGGCACCAGAGACATACAGGGAAAAACTGAGCTGTTTGGTCTCGGGACTAGGGCTGGAGAAGCAGCTTTCTCTCAGACAGAGGTGCTGGCGGAGGCCTTTGCTTCTTTGGTGAGACCTTCCCTACCAGATGGATGCCATATCTAGGACTCCAGCAACCTGGCTCACACTCATTGCCCTGCCATGGTGATCCCCTGAGGCCCTGCTGCACAGGACTGTCAGTTCCACCCAAGCTGTTTCCAAAGGCTTTACCATAGGATTGGCCTGCTACAAAATTTTCTTGGATCCTGCTACAGAGTTTTCTAAAATCTCTCAAACAAGCAGCATCTGGTCTCAGCAAGCCCCATACTTCTCGTTAAGTGTCCCCAGGCATGGCACTAGAAGCAGCCAGCCTTGGTTCACAACTTGGCTTTTCCTGGGCATCTCCAAGCCCAGAACAAAAAGCAGCCAATGGCAGATCACTTTGTAGCTTATGCCAGGTGGCCACAGGTAGAACACAGGCAGTGGCTGACCTTGCCCCAGAGCCAGCACACCCAGTGGACAGATCACATTGAAGCACCACAACCCAACCACCTCCAAAAGTGACAGACTCAATGAGTGGACTCAGTGGGTACCAGAGCCTGCTGAAGTAAGTCTTGCTCTGTGTGGTGGGCCCTTACACAGCTGATCCTCCAAGGTAGTCAGAGGCCAGTGGTCAGTGGGCACAGCCAGCCCTTACAGCTGATCAGCCTGAGTAAATCCCTCCCATTGACATGCCAACAGCAATCAAGACTCCATTACAACAGAAGGGTGTACAGTCCACACGAGTAGGGCACCTCGAGGGCCCAGCTAAGGTGATCAGGTAGGCTGTGCCATTGAATCCTACAGGACACCTACAACAATAGGCCACCCTACAAAGCCTAGGAGACATAACAACTCTACCAAATACATAGAAGTGATTACAGGGAAGCAGCCAAAATGAGGAGACAAAGAGACATGTCCAAAATGAAACAAAAGAACAAAACTCCAGGAAAAGAACTAAACAAAATGGAGATAAGCAATCAATCAGATGCAAATTTTAAAGCATTGGTTATAAGGACACTCAAGGAATTTAGTGAGACATTGAAGGATTTTGTGAGAGCTTAAAGGAACTTAAGGAGACCTCCAAGGAACTTAGTGAGAATATCAACAACATAAAAAAGAACCAGTCAGAAATGAAGGCTGCACTAACTGAAATAAAGGATAATTTACAGGGAATCAATAGTGGAGTAGGTAAAGCCAAGAAGCAAACCATCAATTTGGAATATAAGGAAGCATAAAACACCCAACCAGAATCGTAAAAGGAAAAAAGAATCCAAAAAAAATGAGGATAGTGTAAGGAGCCTCTGGGACAACTTCAAACATGCCAACATTCGCATCATAGGGGTGCCTGAAGGAGAAGATAGAGAGCAAGAAATTGAAAACCTATTTGACACAATAATGACAGAAAACTTCCTTAAATTGGTGAATAAAACAGACATACAGGAAGTACGTGAAGGAGAAGAGAGCAAGAAATTGAAAACCTATTTGACACAATAATGACAGAAAACTTTCCTAATTTGGTGAAGGAAACAGACATACAAGTCCAGGAAGCACAGAGAGTCCCAAACAAGATGAACCCAAAGAGGTCCACAGCAAGACACATCATCATCAAAATGCCAAAGGTTAAAGACAAAGAGAGAATCTTAAAAGCAGCAAGAGAAATCAGTTTGTTACCACAACAGAAATTTAATGTCTTTAATTTAGCTGCTTCCAAAGAATAAAAAGTATTTAAATAACATTATCAGCTACTTAATGAAAATAAATTTAATTTATTTGTTGGCATAAATTTGAGGACTAATAGGCCCTGGCTACTCAATACCAAAACACCCCATGGTAAGGTGGAAAATGGAGTCACTCAGCTGTTTGTGTTATTTATCAGAAACCCTACCCCAAATAACTGGTTTCACTTGTCTTTCCCATGGAACTCACTGGTTCTTTGGACTTAGAGTAACCCAATCTGCAATTCTTGGAAAAAGAAGGCAAAAAGAAAAAAAAATCATGGGGTTGGTGGGGTTGTTTGGAGTTTATGGGCTGAAGGGCAAAGAAGCCTAGAGAAGAAACTAATTGGATAGGGACATGAGCAGAGATGAAAATGACTGGAGAGGAAAATGGGTTAGAGACAATCAATACTTGAAGTGGTCGCGAAAACTGAGAAACGGGAGAAAGCACATCATTTTTTAGAGTCACTTGGTTGTTTAGCTAACAAAACACAAAAGATGCCCTCTCTTTGCTGCCTACCTCCCTCTCTCTGCCCACACAGCTGCAATTAGAAGAGCTGAGTGGCTGATGAGTTTCTGTAATAGATGGTGATTACTTGCAGGAGAGTGACTCTCTGTTCCTTCATTTTCTGTGTTATGATTGTTTAAGTTTTTTTTTCAGAAAGAAGGATGTACAAAGAACCCAACCACCCCAAAACAAAGGATTTTTTGAACTCCTTTCTCCCTCATCCGAAACAGATTGTCTCTCCTTTCTATAAAGCTCTTCTATGCTTTGTAATACTAATGATGATAATGATAATACTGAACCCCTATACTTTTATAGTGCTTCATATTTTTCAAAGAAATTTCATATTATCTTATTTGATTTTCAAAACAACTATAAAGAAAGAGATAATGCAAGGTCAATTATCTCAATAGATGAGGGCACTGGGGCTTGAAGAGGTTAAATTATTTATCCAAGGTTATCTGGCTAATAAATGACAGAATCTGCACTGTACCCCATGTCTTTGGATTGGGAGTTCAGTGCTCTTTCTACTTGAATGTATTCTGTGGCATGATTATTTCGACAGGTGTGCCTGCTTTAAGACAGTTCACTACACATATGAAACAGATAAGTTAGAGAGTGATGCTTTACTTTGCCAATAGATTCATGTGGTCTATCCAAGAATTCACCACAGGGCTATTTTAATTTTCTCTGCAGGGAAGCAGCTCCCACAGTGATAGGGACATATTTGTTGGCAGACAATTAGAAACACATTAATTGTTTATGAAACAGTGGAATCACCGAGAAAAACTGATTGGGTTGCTGGTACTTAAAGCTACAGTGACATTGTAGATTTCTTAGACCAAGTTGACAAAGCACTTTGATTCAGTGATTGTTTTCCTCACTCTGGCACTCAGCTTTAGTACATTCCACAGGGTGATCAGTAAGGGGTTATGGAAAAAATAAAGCCAAACAGTAGCTGTCAGATGCCCAAGAAGACACAGAACAAAACAAAACAACCACATGGACTAATCCAAGATTCCCTTCAGGACCTCAAGTTGGCCTGTCACCTCAACTGAGATGACCTACCTGGCTGTGTGAGTAGACATCATAAACTTTTATGTATCTAGTAAGATTTGTAAGAAATAAGTATATTCACTGCAAATTAATGAGAATGTTTAGAGAGAATCAGGTTTAAACTGTGTCTATGTAATACTCAGACAAGAGAACAATTTAATAAAACAGGAAAAAAACAAACCAGTAAGCCCACTTGTTTGGAATTATGTAGACAAAGCAACCTACTGATTGAATTTTTCCACTTTTCAAACTGTTGCTTTGGTAACACATAGATGCAATTTTGCAAGATAAGTGGTTTTGTGGGCAGAAATCTGGGCCCACAGCCAGGGACCAAGGATTTGAGTTCCCACTCTGCCTCACACTAGGGGATCCCACACAATTTGCTTACTTTTGTTTTGTTTCTTTAATGTATTTTGTGTTTATAAAATAAAGATTAATGATTCTTGGCACTGGTATTATTAGAATATATACTGTGGCACATGAGAAAGGGTATTGGGTTCTTTAAAAGTATTCAGAGGTGATGTTTTTTAATCTGCCCTTGATGTGGGAACACCACTTTTTTGGACTCAAATACCATCCCCATACACCACCTTCACCCATCTCTTTGATGTTTCTTTAATAGCATTTTTACTTTTCTCTTTTGGTCTTTGTAACTCTGCAAGTTATGAGGACCATGGTTGCTGCCTCTCTTTGTTGTGGGTACTATGAAAAAGTTCCAAGTGTGGTTAGTCTCTCAGTTATCTTGTATATTTTTAAACTTCCATCATAGGGAAAATTTACCCTAGGTTCGAAAAACATCCAGCCTTCTACGATCCTCTGATACTATGCTTGTTTCAGGAGTTGTATAAATAAAATCCAGTAGATCAAAGGACCCAACAGAATTCTACTGACTTTAGAGGATGTGATATTTATTAACTCCCATTTTGGCAACAAGGTAAGGAGCTTCCCTTTCTCTTGCTGTACTATTTAATATGGTATTCACAAGAAGCAAATGACTATTGAGAACTTGAAATGTGGCTAGTCTGAATTGAGATGGGCTATAAGAGTAAAATACACACTGGATTTAGAAGGCAGTACAAAAACATGTAAAATACTTTATTAATTTTTAAAAATATATTATTTACATGCCAAAATGATAATACTTAGGATATATTGGGTTACAGCCTATTATTAAAATTAATCTCACCTTTTTCTTCTTATGTTTTTAATGTGCCTATTAGAAAACTTAAAATTACATATATGGGTCAAGTAACATTTCTATTGGATAGTGCTGTCATAGAACAGTTATGTGGAAGTGATGCAGTGCACTTTGAGCAACAGGGTGGTTTTGACATCATATATCCTTTCTTTGTACATTTGGACTCAACATTTGCTTGCTAGTTCCTCAAGAGCAGGGGTACATATTTGTTAAATGTTAGCCCATAGCACCTGACATGGTGGTGATAGCATAACAGGTGCTCATAACAGCTGTGTTAATGAATCAAATAGTGAAGGAGAGTTGAGTTTCATGAGGGATTCTGTTCTGATTTTGATTCTGTTTTATTTTATTTTTAATTTTTTTAAATTTATTTTTGTAATTAATTTATTTTTGTTACAGATGATTCTCCTTTTCCCCCACTGATTCCCCCTCCCCCTCCCTCCCCGCCCTGTCCCAAGCTTTGTTGTCCATGTCCATTGTTCAGGCATACATGCATATAAGTTCTGTGGTTTATCTCTCCTCCACCACCCCCTCTTCTGGGGATTGTCAGTCTGTACCCCACTTCCACATCTCTGGGACTACCCCATTCCTCAGACTGTTATGTTCATTATATTCCACAAATAAGTGAGATCATATGAAACTTGTCTTTCTCTGTTTGGCTTCTTTCGCTTAGGATAATAGTTTCCAGTTTCCTCCATGTCATCTCAAAGGATAAGAGATCTCTCTTCCTTACAGCTGCATAGTACTCCATTGTGTACATGTACTACAGCTTTTTTATTTTTATTTTTTTATTTTTTTTTATGAATTTTTATTTATTTTTTTGTTACAGATATTTTACCTTTTTACCCCATTGGCACCCCCCACCCCCCCCCTCCACCCTGTCCCCGGCTTAGTTGTCCATGTCCATTGGTCATGCATACATGCATATAAGTTCTGAGGTTTATCTCTTCCCACCCCCCACCCCCCATTCCCTCTTCTGAGGGATGTCAGTCTGTGCCCTACTTCCATGTATCTGGGTCTACTGTATTCCTCAGACTGTTATGTTCATTATATTCCGTATATAAGTGAGATCATGTGGTATTTGTCTTTTTCTGCTTGGCTTCTTTCACCTAGGATAATACTTTCCAGGTCCCTCCATGTCGTCTCAAAGGATAAGAGATCTTTCTTTCTTACCGCTGCATAGTACTCCATTGTGTATATGTACCACAGCTTTTTTATCCATTCGTCTACTGGTGGACACTTGGGCTGTTTCCAGATCTTAGCTATTGTAAATAGTGCTGCTATGAACATGGGGGTACATATATTCTTCCTGATTGGTGTTTCAGGCTTCTTAGGGTATATTCCCAGCAGTGGGATCACTGGGTCAAATGGAAGTTCAATTTTTAATTTTTTGAGGTAGCACCATATTGTTTTCCATAGCGGCTGCACCAGTCTGCATTCCCACCAGCAGTGTATTAGAGTCCCCTTTTCTCCACACCCTCGCCAACACTTGTTGTTTGATGAGTTGTTGATGGCGGCCATTCTGACAGGTGTGAGTTGATACCTCATTGTTGTTTTAATTTGCATCTCTCTGATGATTAGTGATGTTGAGCATTTCTTCATATGTCTCTTAGCCATTTGTATGTCCTGTTTGGAGAGGTGTCTATTCAGCTCCTCTGCCCATTTTTTAATTGGATTCTTTGTCTTCCTTTTGTGGAGTTGTATGAGCACTCTATATATATTGGAAATTAACCCCTTATCTGATACATCATTGGCAATGATGTTCTCCCATACAGTGGGTTGCCTTTCCATTTTGATGATTGTTTCTTTTGCTGTGCAGAAGCTTTTTAGTTTGATGTAGTCCCATGTGTTCATTTTCTCCTTTATTTCTGTTGCCTTAGGTGATGTATCAGTGAAAATTCTGCTCCGTATGATGTCCAAAATTTTGTTGCCTACATTTTCTTCTAGAATTTTTATGGATTCACGGGTCACATTTAAGTCTTTTATCCATTTCGAGTTTATTTTTGTGTATGGTGTAAGTTGATGGTCTAGTTTCATTTTTTTGCATGTGGCTGTCCAATTTTCCCAACACCATTTATTAAAGAGGCTGTCTTTACTCCACTGTATGCTCTTGCCACCTTTGTCAAATATTAATTGAGTGTATTGCCTTGGGTCCATTTCTGGGTTTTCAGTTCTGTTCCACTGGTCTATATGCCTGTACTACAGCTTTTTTATCCATTCGTCTACTGATGGACATTTGGGCTGTTTCCAGATCTTAGCTATTGTAAACAGTGCTGCTAAAAACATAGGGGTACATATAATCTTCCTGATTGGTGATTCAGGATTCTTAGGGTATATTCCTAGAAGTGGGATCACTGGGTCAAATGGCAGTTCAATTTTTAATTTTTTGAGGAAACATGATATTGTTTTTCATAGTGGCTGCATCAGCCTGTATTCCCACCAGTCTGTATTCCAACTCTAGTGTACTAGAGTTCCCTTTTCTCCACACCCTCGCCGACACTTTTTGTTTGATGATTTGTTGATGGCGGTCATTCTGACAGGTGTAGGGTGACACCTCATTGTCGTTTTGATTTGCATCTATTTGGTGATCTTTTTTTTAAACTCATCTTTATTGTTGCATATATTACAGAGGTCCCCCCTTTTTTTTATCCATAGACCTCCTCCTCCCCAATCCCACACCCCTCCAGCCTTCCCCACACTATTGTCAGTGTCTATTGTTTATGAATATCTGCATAGACGTTCTTTGGTTTATCACTTCCCGTCCTCCCCCCGCTTTCTTTTGAGGTTCATTAGTCTAACAACCAATTAGTACTTAATTCCTTCATCTTTTTCACCCATCCTCCCAGCCCCCACCCATCTGGCAAGCAACAAAACGTTCTCATTATCTATGAGTCTGTTTCTGTTCTGCTTGCTCATATTGTTTGTAAATTTAATTGTTGATAGATATGTATTAATTGCCATTTTACTGTTCATACTTTTTTTTCTTCTTTTCCTTCTAGAAGACCCTTCAACATTTCATATAGTACTGGTTTGGTGGTGATGAACTCTTTAGCTTTTTTTTGTTTGGGAAAATCTTGATATGTCCATCGATTCTAAAGGATAGCTTTGCAGGATAGAGTAGTGTTGGGTTTATGTCATTGCTTTTTATCACTTTGAATATCTCTTGCTACTCTTTTCTGGCCTGCAAAGTTTCTTTTGAGAAAGTAGCTGACAATCTAATGAGAGATCTTTTGTAGGTAACTAATTGCTTTTCTCTTGCTGCTTTTAAGATTCTGTCTTTGTATTTAACCTTTGGCATTTTGATGATGATGTGTCTTGGTATGGTCCTCTTTGGGTTCATCTTGTTTGGCACTCTCTGTCTTCCGGGACGTATATGTCTTTTTCCTTCACCAAGTGAGGGAAGTTTTCTGTCATTATTTTTTTTCAAATACGTTTTCAATCTATTGTTCTCTCTCTTCTCCTTGTGGCACCCCTATGATGCAAATGTTGGCATGCTTGAAAGTTGTTCCAGAGGCTCATTACACTATCCTTATTTTTTTGGATTCTTTTTTCTTTTTGCTGTTCTGATTGGGTGTTTTTTGCTTTGTTATATTCCAAATTAATGGTTTACTTCTTGGCTTTACCTACTCTACTATTGTTTCCCTGTAAATTATACTTTATTTCAGTTAGTGCAGCCTTCATTTCTGACTGGTCCTTTTCTATGTTGTTGATGTTCTCACTGAGTTCCGTGGAGGTCTCCTTAAGTTCCTGGAAGGTCTTACCAGTTCCTTGAGCAACCTTATAACCCGTGTTTTGAACTCTGCATCTGATTGCTTAACTCTACTTTGTTTAATTCTTTTCCAGGAGTTATGTTATTCCCTTTTATTTGGGACATGTTTCTTTGTCTCCTAATTTTGGCTGCTTCCCTATGATTGTTTCTATGTATTCATTAGAGTGGCAATGTCTCCTAGGTTTGTAGGGTGGCCTATTGTTGAAGGTGTACTGTAGGATCCAGTGGCACAACTTTGCTGATCACTCCAGTTGAGCCCTCAAGGTGCATGCTCCTATGGCCTTTACATCCTTCTATTGTAATTGAGTCTTTAAAATATTTTTTTATTAATTTATTTTTGTTACAAACGTTTTTTCTTTTTTTCCCCAGACACCCTCTTTCCCATCCCCCCCACCGCATACCTGACTTTGTTGTCTGTGTCCATTGGTTATGTGTACATGCATATAAGTTCTGTGATTTATCTCTATGTTCCCCCACCACCCCCTTTTCTGAGAATTGTCAGTCTGTACCGTACGTCCACGTCTCTGGGTCTACCCAATTCCTCAGACTGTTATGTTCATTATATTCCACAAATAAGTGAGATCATGAGATATTTATCTTTCCCTGCTTGGCTTGTTTTGCTGAGGATAAAACTTTCTAGGTCTCTCCATGTTGTCTCAAAGGTTAAGAGATCTTTCTTTCTTACAGCTGCAGAGTAGTTCATTGTGTATATGTACCACTACTTTTTTATCCATTTAGCTACTGATGGACACTTGGGCTGTTTCCAGATCTCAGCTATTGTAAATAGTGGTGATACAAACATGGGGATATATATATTCTTTCTGATTTGTGTTTTAGGCTTCTTAGGGTATATTCCTAGAAGTGGGATCACTGGGTCAAGTGGCAGTTCAATTTCTAATTTTTTGAGGTAACACCATATTGTTTTTTATGGTGGCTGCACCAGTCTGCATTCCCACCAGCAGTGTAC